GCAGGTGAGGCACAGACTGTGTTTTACCATCTTGCCTCAGTTTACCCGTAGAAGTGTGTGGATTAAGTACAGCCTTCCTCTGCTTTACAGGCTGTCAAGTGTCCACAGTTAATAACTCCACTAAGGCATCTCCCTGTTCTAAGTTGCTGAGAGGTGACACAGCCACAGACATTGAAACCTTGTCCCCCAGAGCGCGGTATGGCAGCTTGAACCAGGGAAGAGTGAAACTCATTTCTATGGTCTCAGTCATTCCTTGGACAGGTATGCAGGCCTCAGAATCTTGCCTTTTTAAGTAGTATTAAAAGAATACAAGTTAAAAAAACCAAGAAGCTAAAAGAACTTCTACAATGTAATCTTCAAAGCTATAAAAGCCAAAATTTATGCACTTCCCAATAGTGTTAAACCTTTGAAAGTCCTCGTTCAGTCCCAGATAACTTTTTATCAGCGAAGTAGCATCCAGTTCCGGCTGTGTGCTGCTGCGTCATCTCTCAGACATGAACTCCCGAGTACATAATTTGATCACCATGTGTTACCCCAAGAGGGGTTGTGTTAGCACCGTGTCCATAAATTGTTCTTTTAAGAAAAGGTGGAAATGCTGGAGCCATTATTGCGATGTGATCAGTTGGTATTCTGTGGTTAGCATGGGAAGGGTGCAAGAGCTGCCCACTAGTAGGTGGGGGATTTAAGAAGTGAGCATCCTCTGCCAACCCAAGAACAGGCAGGGACGGAGCTAGAGTCATGCAGATGCTGCTGGCCTGAGGACCGCTGCTCGGGGAGCTTCTGGTGGCAGAACTGGAGCTGGAGAGGCGAGAGGGGAGCTCAGGTTCCAGTAGCCAAGCCTGGCCAGGTGCAAGTCCACTTTGCTGCCCCTCATCCTGCGATTTCAGGCATTTGCAGCAGCAAATTCCCACACAGGCACCACCAACAACAAACGCCACGAATACAGACCCAACGAGAAGGAATGGCAGGTATACGGGCACTGGAAATGGAAAAGTGACATTAACCAACTGCACATGAGTCTCCTAGGTTATATCTGTCATCATCCCTTAAGACATGCATGCACTGGGGAGTAAACCAGAGTAGTTTTACTCTCAAGCCTTCTCTTGTTGCAGTGAGAAGATTAAAAACTGACAATTGCTGCTATAGCATCTGCCATTTATACCCAGGCAAGAGCTGTTCCAGAACTTAAATGTCACAGCTACTGTTCACTTGTGCGTGATTAAGTAGAAATTCAGATTAATTCAGATGTGTAACTGAGTTTCAACACAGAGTTAGTACCTAAACTGCTGTTGAGTTGCCTGTGGAACTTGGGTTTGAGGGCTGCAAGCCTTTTTACAAGTCAAAATGCATTACTCAGAGGCATCCACATGCTTTAACAGAGCAAGTTAGCAACACACATGTTCTACCTGGGAGACAAACATCAGCGGTGTTACCAGATTACTTTGTAGCTCAGAGGCTTTTCTGATAGAAAAGTCATCCAAGCAAAGCCCCAAGTTATTCCCTGCTCCCAGCAAAAGAAACTGAGTGGCTCTGGCTCATGTATCCCCCAAAACAAACCCCCTGTGCCCTTCTGCTGCAGTGGTTACAGCCTGGAGCATTTAATGGCAGGGATACAGAGGAAGGATCTGACTGGTGCCACCAAGGGAAGGTCAGGAAGAAAGCCACCAAGGGAATCAAGCGCACCTGAGATGCTCCCCGCATCGCCGAGAGGCACAGAACGCTTACCTGGCACTGGAGGCCTGGGGCTGGGCTGTTGCTGGTCACCAGGACAGCGGCCCTGGTCCAGGCGGGCCTCTCTGGCCGAGCAGCAGTAGCGCAGGCTGCAGGTCCCACAGCACAGTGTGGCTTCTGGGCCATCGTAGCGCTCGGGGCACTGGAAGCCGCGGTGCCAGCGCTGGGGGCTGCCGGCCCAGCCGTGGCAGTACTCCCCGGCCCACCCAGAGCCGCACTGCAGGGCCAGCAGCAGCACCAGGGCACAGGGAACCCCCCTTGCCATACTGGGCAAGCAGGGCAGCTCACCTCTTAGCCACTTGGCCCACACTGTGCTTTATTTTTCCCTTCTTTCCTCTTTTAAAGGTAAGGCACCCCAGGCAGAGCCCAGCTGCCCACCAAGGCACTGCCTGAGCTCTGACTGCAGGAGGTTTTATCTCTTGGCCTGCCTCTAATCCCCTCTCCTTAAAGCAACAAAGAAGGACCCCAGTAATTGAAACCTATTTGCAAACTCCAGCTCCACCTTCCTCATTTCCCTCCTTCATCCCCGCAGGAAGCAGGCACTGGTTTCTGCTGGTGAGGGCACATCTCAGGCCCGTGGGTACACATTTCCACCAGTACAGCACCATTACCAGACTGAGGGAAAAGGCAGAAAGTCCAGGGCTATACTGGTACCAAAGCTTCATTTCTTCAGGAGCTGAACTGGGAGAGTGGGGCTAACCTGGGGACAACACATGAGGACGAGTGAGAAATATCATTTCTAGAGCAGAAAGAACATTCAGGGATAACCAGCTTCTAGAGGGCTCTGGAGTGTAATTTTTACCTTGTTTAACATTGATAACCAATTACATAAGTAGAAGAAGATTTTAATATGAAAATGTAGGAAAAATTAATTTTGACAGCTCTAAGTTGGTCTCATTTTTGTCTCCATAGTTAAAAACCTAGAGGCTGAAAATTTTAAAGGGTCTTTTGCACTTCTGCTTTCCCTCCCTACAAGCCATGAAGTAAAAAGCATGTTTCCGGGGACAAAATGCCTATTTTAAGATCGTAGAAGTTTCACCTACACAGAAAAATCCTACAGTGTTACAAAGACCCCATAGTAACACAGGAGTGTAGTGACCTCTTCATCTTTGAACTAAAAATAAAACCAGAGTATTTGTGGTCTTTCTTAGTCCCCTTACAAGTCTCAGTAGTTGTGATATTTACAGGATCTATGTCTGTAGCTTGGCTACCCTGAGCTTAACTGCAGTGAGGAACAAAATTGCTGCTAATTGAGCACTTTGAAAAGCAGGGAGTTGGGGCAACATCTTTTGGACCAGTATCCTGGGAATGCATAGCCTTATTTGCAGCTTGCTTGAAGACTCCAAATTTTATTCTTTAATGTACACAACAGCCAGTTTCCATTCAATTTTTTTAGGAGTGCTGCCACTGATTGTAGAGAGAGGTTGTCCAATGGTGCAAATTTTTAGAAACATTTGCACAAAATTATCTCCCTTCTGATGTTTTCCTTTGTTTTAGTATTAGATAGCAGCTTGCACATTTATGCTTTATTAACTATTTTCTAGGTTCAGTTCAGTCATATTTCAGTCTACCAAAGACACAAGTGCTCATCACCTTTGCCAGTCACCTTTCGTGCATCATTTTTTAATTGGCTTTTTGGCAAACGTGGTTACAGAGATCCTTGGATTCAAAAACGTTAAATGAAATCTCTGTTCAGTACTAGAGCCCTGTCCAAATGCTGCTCAGTGCACTGAGATATTTTGCCCTGATATTTCAGCTCTGCAAGGGTAAGGTTGGCTTGATTGCATAGGACTTAATCCTATAAATCCGTGGGCACAGCCTAGAAATTACTTCACAGCCCCAGCACCCTTTAAAAGCCAGCCAGAGGTGAGTGATGGGCTGTCTGGGACTGGGCCTTTCAAGCACTGAATACTTTAAGCACAAAGCTGTATTTGCCTTAAGGCAAATTCTAGTTTATTCACACATTCAACCTCCACACTATTAGGCCAGACTAAATACTAACTTTTATTGCTTGTTGTTAAGGGAAAAAGCAGCCTCAGACAGGCTTTAAGAATGTGCTTGGCACTTTGCAGAGTTCATCGTAATAAAACCTACCTCAGTAAAGATAACAGTATGTAATTATTTCCTCCCATCTTCCACATTGAAAGAGTATAAAGACACCTGCTAAGTCTGGTATTCAAATGCTAAGAAATGCCTAAAGTTCTTAGCATTAACACTTTGAATGACGGCTGCCTTTACAGGATTTCCTCTCTGCATGTACACTATCTTTAACTACATAGCCATGTATTATGCTTCCCTGCATAGGATTGCACTACCTCACTTAGGGATAAATTGGAAACCAAATGCCATGGGGGGGGTGTGTGTGTATAAGACTCGTATATGCTTACACAACTTGTGAAACACTGTGAATTTGAACTACATGGATATATTGGGATGCTGGTTGTGGACTACAAGGGTAAATCATGAATAAGGTTCTGTTCTAATTTCTTGTGTTCAGTCACTCTCAGCTTTCTGAAGTCTTTCACCTGCCAGGGTGAAATCTTTTGTGCTTGTTCTCTGCCAGCTTTGGGGAAGTTTTAAACAAAAACAACCCAGCCTATTTTGCATGAGAGGACAGTGATGATGATTTCCCATTATTAACAGCAACAAACAATCTTGTTACCTTTTCTGAGTATCCCTGCAGCCAAAACAGCTTGAGCTTTGAATTTCCAAGTTACCACGGAAATAGCCCTTAGAGAGAAGTCTTTTTTTCCATGTGAGAGTTGTTTCTCTTATTTAGGGAAATGTACATTCCCCCTCGTGAATTTTATGTGCGCAGCAAGATTATTAAAAATTCCTGTTTTTCTAAGCAGAAGGCACAAACTGGAAACTTCCTGATCTGCAGCTGCTTTGCCTTCCCTGCAGTACCAGTGTTCAGTATCCGTATTTTACAATTTTCAGTAATGCTGATTGAACTCTGCCACCAGATTTCAGGTATGTTCTTGACATTTGTTAATGCCAAGTGAACATTCAATACAGAAGAAACAAGGGCAGAACTAATCCCTCTGTGCTGACAGGAGCCTGCAGTCCTCTCCTGATGCTGTGTGCTGCTTCCCTCTGCATCAGCGCCAAGACTGGGACCTAAATAAAATACAGGGAAGTATGTAAGGCACAATGAGAATGCCCTATAGGGACTTCATTCTTTGCATTTCATGAGTGTGGCTCTTGAGCAAATGCTGCCTATGAGGAATTTTGCAAATATGACTCTACATCTTTCTCTGCACATCATTACTGGAGGCTGATTAGTGAAGGGGCCTCATCCCTGAACATGCTGTGGATACTTCCTTAGCAAATAATGAGGAAACTAAAAGATAAACTAATAATTACCTGTTTACTATAACGAAGATGAGACAGCTGCAGTATCAGCTGTTTTCTGAAGATACAGATTTAAACCTGGTGTCAGGTTCTCTTTTGTGATGTGGCACCAAGATCTCCTTATGTTACTGAGAAAATAGCTCGCAGTAATGTAGGCTTGTATGACTTCATCTGTTCTGTAAATGGTTTGGCCAGGTTTTAGGTGAAAACAGACCAGAGAATCACCAACATCAGTGTCTGTAAAAATGTACCCTGCCTCTGCAGAAGACGACTAGCAGACCTGTGAGCTTATTAGTTTAAAAAGGGACACAATCTCCACATGTTTAGTGTAGAAACAATTACTGCCCATTAGAGGCCTGGCGGTTGGCTTTAGTGCTGTGTGCTCATGTAAGCAGTGTCCTGCAGACGTGTGGCTTTACCTTATCAATGTGGCTTTACTTTAGCAACACCAGTGCTGATAAGAATGATGCCAGAGGAGGCACCCTGGAGCATTAGGAATGGAGGTGCTGGAGTAGCCAGCTCTCCAATTTACTGCTTTTTTAAAAAATTATTCTTCTTTTTTGGCAGGTTAGCTTTTTTCTTTTTTGAAAGTGAGATGCAAATTCAACTGAGTTTCAGTTTCAGAAATTTACACAGAGCTTTCATAAGCAAAAATAAAGAAAAAATGACAGCAAACAAGTTAGCATGCTGCTTTGAGAGGTGCAAGCAGAAGAAGACACCTCTATCTTTCATCTTTATGTGCAGTTACAATAGTTGTCCATACCTAATACTCACAGTCCTATGTGTTCCGTTAGTAATGACTTGCCCAGGCACAAAAATCTAAACAGAGCCTATATTTTACAGTCTTATTTTCTAGGTTGCCAACTCTTTAAAAACAAAAGCGAGAACTATTTAAACCAGTCAATTCTGTTTATTCTTCTCAGCAAAGAGAATGGGACAGAGGTGGCTCCCATCAGTGGATTTAACACCATTAGCCTTTTTTAGGGGGCATTATTTTTTTGATGGAACCAGCCATTTCTATCAGACTTCAGTAAAAATCCAGGTCTTAAATTTTTCTTGAGTTAGACTTTGACAGCCCCTTCACTCCTGGTGATTTTCCTTCTCCCAGCTGTTTTCTCCTGACTGAAGAGCTCATTTCTGCACTTGTCTACCACAAGGCTTTTGAGGGAGGAAATCAGGTGTTGGAGTGGTCCCTGCTGGGCTCTTCCCTCTGCAATGAGCCCCATCGTGATGCCAGCAAAAGCCTGGACAGCTCAATGGTCCTCCTCACCTAAAAAGATGAACCAAAAAGAGAGTGGCAGAATTTATTGAGATGGTGATTTAGTGAGGTGTGGTTTTTGTGCAGCCTGAATGCTCCTGATTGTTGATTTACAATAGGTCTGATTTTCAAGAGAGGATGAGTCCTCCATCCCTAGGAGTCAGCAGGAGCTGCCAAGTAAAGATCAGGCCCAGGTGGTGCTGAACAAAGCTGCTGCAGCAGACGGAGCCTAAAATCAAACACAGGAAGAGTTAAGCCAAACTTTCATTACCAACTCAAATCACAACGTGTTCGGAGTTCAAACAAGTCTGAATTTTATTATTTTTTTAATAGAGTTAGTTCGAAGTTTTTCTTTCTTTTATTGAGATGCTGCTGCTTCAGAGTTTAAAAGGATTAGAAGCCTGAAATGCTGGAAATCTCACAGGAAAACCAGCTCTTAAAATCTCCAGCTCTGAATTGGATGAATATCAGACCCCTGGGGCCCTTACTATTTTCTGTTGAATTTTTCTGCAGTAGGCTTTTGCTAGCAAAGTATAAAAGCCTGCTATCAGAGGCTTGGCATTTCTATCTGAACTGAAGTCAAGTCACCGAGCAGGATGGTGACAGCTTGCATCATGCTTCTTAAGCTTCACTGAAGGGCTTGGCAGGCATTT